GCGCCAGGCATGAGTTTTAAGCCACCGGGTCTGGGACGTGAACCGCAGTTAACTACATGGGAGTCCAGCGACATAGCCATTATGCTAACTGCTGGTCCCTTTTCTTTCTGTTTTTTTGGAGAACCCTATTAAAATATGGGAGAAGGAGTTGGGGGAAAAAATAAACGCTCTCTAAAGATGACATACGAATAGCCAAAAGGCATATAAAAATGTCAGCATCCCTCATTGTATGGGAAATGCAGATCAAAACAACAATGAGGTACCATCTAACCCCAGTCAGAATGTCTAAGATTAAAAAAAAAAAAAAAAAAGATAAGTGTTGACGGGTTGTGGTGAAAGGGGAACTCTTTTACACTGCTGGTGGGAATGTAAATTGTTCCAGCCACTGTGGAGAACAATTTGGAGATTTCTCAAAAATCTACAAATAGAACTACCATATGATCCAGCAATCCCACTCCTCGGTATATATCCAAAGGACAGAAGAATTCTTCGTTGGAAAAGTGCTTGCACATCAATGTTTATTGTGGCACTATTCACGATTGCTAAGACATGGAACCAACCCAAATGCCCCCGTACGGATGAATGGATTGAAAAACTGTGACACGTATACTCTATGGAATACTATTTAGCCATAAAAACCAACAAAACCCTGACTTTTGACAGAAAGTGGAAGAATATGGAAGATTAACTGTTGAGTGAAGCAAGCCAGGCTATGAAGGAGAGACATTGTATGTCCCCACTTAACATATACCAAGTGTCTGCACTTTATGACCTAAACTGATTGACTAAAAGATATACAAACAAAAGAGATGGGTGTAAATGCCAGATGTAGTGTGTGTGGAGGAGTAGGGCCTAGGGAAAAACATTTGGAGGAGGCATACAGAGGCAGAGCCTTGACAGGATGGAGAGGTGTGGTGTTATCTGTTGAAGATATTTTGATCAACTGGACTGGGGAGAAATGTTCACGTTGAAATGTTCACTTTGTAAGCTAAATAATGTGATTGAATATATACAAAAAATATATAAAAATACAAAAAAAATCTTTAAAAAAGAATATAAACCGGGAACCAGCAGTTAGCGTAATGGCTATGTCGCTGGACTCCCACATAGTTGACCGCGGTTCGCGTCCCGGACCCGGTGGCTTGAAACTCACGCTGGGCACGTGTGCGTGCATGCCCAAGATCCCGAGAGGAGAATGGAGGAGAAGGGATTGCAGCGTGACCATCCCCCATGGGGGGTGATTTTTCGCTTTCTGTCTCTATGTCTCTGTCTATCTGGCGAGCGCATGCGCCCTATAGCAAAAATCTCTCCAAAAAAAAAAAAAAAAAAAGAATATAAACCTAAATAGAAAGCAACAACCCCTCCTAATTCCTACTAATTCCTACAACTTTTCCTTAAACTTTAGCACCTCTAGATTATACCACCCAAATTCTGGTTTAAGACTATTTGCTCTAAGAATATCCAATTGTCACTTTTTTTTTTTCTTGTTGTAGAGTTTTCTACCTCTGATATGAAGTACAGTAGCCGGAGAATTGAGGTAAGATTAATTTTAGTATTCTTGACTTAAGAATTAAAACCAAAGGACTTTCATTGTTAGAGACAAAGTCTTAACTCAGAACCAAATTCTCAGCAACTGTATCTTAGAAAAGACAACTTCTAATGGCTTCCAGAGTAGCTAATAATTCTGGGAAAATTAGGCCTTGCCATATGCATTGCTTTTCTGGGATGTTTCCTGCTCTATCAGATTCATTTGATTTGACTTCTTTTGACCTATCTAGAAAATAAGTTACTCTTCCTAGCGGTAGAAATATTTTCTTAGTTGTATAATTTATAAGTAAAGCTTTTGGAAAGATAATTGTTAGTTTGATAGTTTTCTCAACTATCTGACCTTTCTGCATCCTTTAAGCCTTTGAGAAAATATGAGGGAATCTGGCTTTTTTTTTTTTGCCAATGGACACGTGTACATGTCAGAGAGGAGAGGGGAGGGGAGTACTCCCCAGTTGGGTGCGGCTATGTCACAATCCCTTTTTTTCTATTTCTCCTTCCTGTGAGGATTTTTGAGCATGCACCATGCCCTTGGGGCTGGGATTTGATCTGCAGTCAACCATGGCTTTCTACACATAGGACTTAACTGTTGTGCTACAGGGCTGGCCCTGGCGTAAAAAAGTTTAATGATGGTTAACAGGGGGACTAATTGCATCTCACCTATCTATACAGCCTGAGTTTCCAGTGTCAGGTTCCTTTCTCCTTATTTTTACTACATAGGTGGCATGTAATAAGAATTAAACATATTGCTCTCAATCACTACCCATGATCCATGACTATAAATATTCTGATCTAATTAGATATTAAATTTATATACATGGGAAAAGGCCACAATCAAAAAGAAACATACAGCAAAGGAATTTATAGCTTAATGACCACTAAATGGAATATTATACTTTGGGTTACACTGACCTCTAGAGGTTGGTGATGATAAAAACTAATCTAGTTTGAAAATGGAGGGCAAAGGACAATTAAAGAGCCTTACAAGCCTAACTTTCAAGTGTAAAGTGTGGCACATTTATAAGCCATCCTCAGCAAAACAATGATGTACAGTGTTCCAAGCCAATTCTGAGTTAGTCAATAACCAAATGACCATTGTTCAAATATGTGTGACAGTGATGTTAAATTATTCCCCATGGAAATTTAAAAATCTTAAATCAATTCTATGGAAAATTAAAAGAAAAAAGAAGAGAGGGACCAGCAGATGGAGTAACGGTTACGTTGCTGGACTCCCATGTAGTCGACTGTGATTCGAGTCCTGAACTGGGCGACTTGAAATGCATACTGGTACATGTGTGTCTGTGCCCAAAATCCAAAGAGGAGAATGGAGAAAAAGGGATTGTGGTGTGGCCATCCTTCCTGGGGGGTGATTTCTCGCTGTCTCTCTGTCTCTTAGGCCAGTGCACACGCTCCATAACAAAAATCTCTCTTAACAAAAAAGAAGGACCAGCAGACAGTGTAATGGTAACATTGCTGGACTCCCACTAGTTGACTGTGGTTTGAATCCCAGACCTAACAGCTTAAAACTTATGCCAGGTGCATGCACATGTGTGCCCAAAATCCCTGGAGGAAAGCGGAGAAGGGATTGCAGCATGAACATCCCCCCCAGGGGGTGATTTCTTGCTTTCTGTCTGTCTCTCCAGTTTGTACATGCTCCCTATAGTAAAAAATCTCTCTAAAAAGAAAGAAAAGAGAAATGTATTTATCTTAAATTAAAAAAAAAAAGAATTGTTCATTTAATTTTATTTATTATTCATTTACTTAAATTTGACCAGAGACAGACACAGAGAAGAAAGAAAGTACGAAAGCAAGCTGTAAGCCATCAGGTATGGGACTTGAACCATGTTCAGCCACGTGGGAGTGTCCAGAACCTTAACCACCATGACAATAGCTGGCCCCTATCTTAAATTTTTAACAGTTACATCATAGGATTTTCATTTAAAAAATATATAGCCATAAATTTTTACATTTATAATTTTTTGGCCAGAATGCAGATGTGACCACTAGAGGGGAGCAGAGAAAGGAGAGAGAAACAGAGAGAGAAAAACAGAAAACACCTCTCCCATGAAGGACCGTCATGCCACAATCCCTTCTGCTCCATTTCTCCCTTCTTTCGGGACTTTGGGCATGTACACACATGCATCCAGAGTGTCTCTCAAGTCCTTGAGTCTGAGACTTAGACCTTAAACCACATAGCCTGCCAAGTGGGATCCAGCCTCCTTAACCACCATTCCACTGGCTGGCCTAATCTTAATTTTTACTAAAAAAAATTAAAGAATTATTTATTTTATTTTATGTATTTATTATTATTGTTATTGTTATTATTTTAAAATTTGACCAGAGAGAGTAGGGGGGGTGGGGGGAGTGATTAAGCAAGCCACCAGTCTGGGACTCAGACTATGGTTGGCCATGTGGGAGTCCAGTGCCATAACCATCACACCACCTGCTGGCCTCTCAATCTTGATTTTTTAAAAGTATTGTTTTATGTTGGTTGTTAAAAGCTACTGGGAAATTTTAGTTTAAAAACATTAAAAAATAGTGTGCATATGTGTATGCGCATACATGAAAAAGAGAGAAGTCCCCCTCAACAGGGTCATAGCATGCCATAGTCGCCTTTTCCCCGGTCTCCAGCTTGTCAGGATCTTGGACATGCATCTGTGCACCTGGCATGTTTTTAGGACACCCTGGGGATCTAAACTTGTGGTTGGTCATGTGACTTCCAGTTCTGCTGATTAGTATACTATGGACTGTGCCACCTGGCTAAGCCAATTTAAAAGTTTCTTATATCCTGGGTAGTTTTATTATTTAGTGGCCATCCTTAAGATAATACAGTATTTAATGGGACGAGTAGATGGTATAATGGTTATGTCACTGGACTCCTACATGGCTGATTGTGGTTCAAGTCCCAGATTTGGAGGCTTGAAACTCACACCAGGCACATGTGCATGCTGCCCAAAATCCCAAGAGGAGAATGAAGTAGAAGGGATTGTGGTGTGGCCATCCCCCTAGGAGTGATTTCTCTCTTTCTATCTCTCTGTCTCTCCAGTGAGCACATATGCCCTATAGCAAAAATGTCTCTAAAAGAAAAAAAAATATGTATATATAAACTTTAAACCAGTTAACATATTTGTATATGTTTCCATATTCTTAGATTTTTCTCTCTTTTTTTTTAGTTCCCTCTGCCACCATTATCACTCTTGCCCATGAGAACTGACGTCCTTACTATTCAGAAAAATCACAAGTTTCCAAAAGAGAGAGAAAGAAACGTTCCACACTTCTCATCCTTCTGTAAGCTCTCAGCACCTGCTAGTCAATCTGAAGAAGGTAGTTCATCAAACAAGCAGCAGGAGGTCCCAGTTAGGGTGCTGGTGGATCAAACTCTTAGGTTTTCTGACAGTTCTATTTGGTCAAGAAACATGTGCTCTTTTCAGAAGGCTAACCATCATAGACAGCACATGGAAATGGAGGAAAACTGGAAATCCAAAGAAATAGAAAGATGTGACAAAAATGAAATCTCTCACTTTGAGAAAGGGGAGACATTGATGTCCTTTACAAATTTTGAGGAAGGTGATATTCCTATAGATAGAGGAGAGGCTATTGACTGCTATGGTAATGAAATGAGAAAAGCAGATGAGAACTCTCAATATCTTTCATCAAGAAATAAAAAGAGTGCAGTAGACAGAAACTATGAACAAGATTCAGAAAGCGTATGCACTATTCCAGTCAAGCTACGAGAATTAACTCCAAATCAGGATGAAGAGATTAGAGATAGCAAATCTGATTCAAAAAGCACTTCATTAGAAGAAGGTGAAGCAGTTGAACCAAACAATATTTTCAAAGAATGTACTGTACTTGAAAGCTTGTCTAATGTAGTCCCTGATGGTCCCGTTAGAAAGCTCCCAGAAGGTCATAGAAGCAGGGAGACAAACATAAAAGTATCAATAGCAGAAGCAAGCAAACCAGAAATGAATGGGACAGTGCCTCTTATCCACTTTACTTTCCCTGGAGATGGAACCCCTAGGGAACCAGCGATAGCTAAACCAAGCCTCCAGAAAAGAAAGGGCACTGTTCATAACAATAGCTCCAACGTACTTGCACATCAAGAAAATGATAAGTGTAAGAAGAATATCCATAGAAATAAGTTGGATTCAAAGATTAACAGGACACCTCAGAATTTCGTGGTTGCCATTGAAGGGTCCATTAAGCCTACCATGCATAAAAATAGCATAAAAACACCAGTGTTCCCTACTTTGGGACTTGCTGACCCCAGGCCCTGGCAATTGCCGAAGTTTCAAAGGAGAATGCCACAGATAGAAAAGAAACAATTGACTTATCGGACCCAGAAACCTAAAAAGCAAGCATTTCCTTGCATCTGTAAAAATCCAGGAATAAAAAAGTCATGTGTTCCTCTGTCTGTTCAACCACCAGAGCCAAGACTAAGTTACCTAGATCTTAAGTACAGTGACATGTTCAAAGAAATAAATTCCACTGCTAATGGACCTGGGATTTATGAAATGTTTGGGACTCCTGTTTATTGTCACATTCGAGATGCTGAGCATGAAAACAAATATTACCGTGAGATATGCTCAGCTCCATCGGGCAGATATATCACCAATAAATGTCGATCTTCACACAGTGAAAGGAACAGCAATAACAGAACAAAGCTTTCTCAGAAAAGACCACATATTAAACCCCCAAAGACATCACTTGGCATTAAACAAAAGCATAAAGATTTAATTTCTAAAGAAAAGTGTTGCAAGGTTGTAAGTAGCAACCTACAAATCATTGAAAATAGTGATAGCAGTTCAGAACCAGATCAGCCGATAAAATCTGCAGGAAGTGACTTTCTATATTCCAAAGATGAAGTTCAACCCATGAACTTGGCTCAGACTTTTGAGCAGTCTACTGAACAGAATGAATTCCCTCCTGTCTCAGACTTATCCATTGTTAAAGAAGTCTCTATGGAAGAGTTTACAGATGAAGGAGACATTTCTAATAATCAAATAATTGCCACAAGCCTCAGAGATCTGGAAGCACTTGAAGACCTACATCACCAGATCCCATGTATCCTTTCAGAAAAGAGCTGGGCAATACCCAGTGAGAAGAGTTCCAACAAGCAAGTACTTCAAGACAAGGAGAATGCAACATCTCTTGGTAAAATAAATGCTGGTCAAGTTTTAACTAATGATCTAGAGTTTGACAGTTTTTCAGATAAGTCAAAAACATTTATGAGTTTTTCTTCCCAAGAAAAACAAGAAAGTGCATCTTCCCAGACATATCAATATCAGGCACATTCTTGGGACTATGATAGTTTAGCAAATAACTCAATCACATATCAAATGTTTGGGAAAAGGTTAAGCGATACAAATTCAATTTCCCAAGAAATTCTAAACTCTGCAAAGAATGAAGAATTGACAGATGAATTATTAGGTTGTCTGGCTGCAGAACTATTAGCTCTTGATGAGAAAGATAACAACTCGTGCCAAATAATGTCAAATGAAACAGATTCTGAAAACCTAAATCTTATTCTCAGTAGGAGAGGAAATACCATGAAAGAATTGTTCAGCGAGACAACCAATGTCAAAATACAGGTTGGTACCATTAGAATCAGAAATTCATTGGGGTGGGAGGGGACCTCAGAAACAATCTGGTTCAAATGCCTTAATTGCAAATGAAGGATCATAAACCCTAAACAATGAAATAGTTCCTTTAAGGTCTCATTGGTCACAGGTTGGAATCTAGATTCCCTGGCTCCAAGCTAAATAAAATGTTTTCATTATGCTGCCTTACTTCTGGAATTTAGCTAGCTTGGCATGGCAATAACATCACAGTGGGTAAATTACATAGCAAAACTATTTAAAGCCAATATTTTATTAAAGGATGGCATTTTCAGTAAGTAGCAGATAATTGCTTATTAGCAGAGCAGTAACTAGAGGCAAGGCCTTGCTCCTGGTCATGTGCAAGATGCAAAGAAATAACCATGACTCTGACATAGCTCACCATTTTGCTCATAGGAAGATATGACATGTACATAGCTCAAAGATTCCCTGTACCTCGGCATTTGTTCTCAGTTCACTACTTTCACACAAAAAATATTACTAGTGTCTATTGTGTTTCTGGCACTGGCTAAGAACGAGGGACATAGTGATATATAAGATTCAGCCATTTCTCTCAAAGAAGCCTGAGCTAAAATCCTGAAAAAAAAATTTGCTTTATATTTTGTTTGGCATAGGAGTGATGGTGTGGTAAGGAGGAATACCAACAGATAGATTTGGTGGTTTTAGTTTTCACTGAAGTATATAAGCCTCCTGTTCTACTCAAATTTTAAAGAAAGGAATAGTAGGGTAGTAAGGGGAGAATGGAGGAAAAGGGATTGTAGTGTGGCCATCCCCCTTGGGGGGGTGATTTCTCACTTTCCCTCTCTGTCTCTCTCCTGTAAGTACATGTGCCCTATGGCAAAAACCTAACAAGAAAAGAAAGAGAAAGGAAGAAAGAAAGAAAGAAACAGAAAGAGAGAAAGAGTAGGACAAGCTGAAATATCATTTATTGAATACTGACACTATGTCAGGATCAAGAATAATCATTTTAAATAGTTGATCAGGGGCCAGCAGGTGGCATGGTGGTTAAGGGTGCTGGACTCCACCATGGCTGACTGTGGCTTTAGTGCTGGACCTGGCAGCTGGCTTTCTCACTTTCTCTCTCTCTCTCACTCTGTCCCTCTCTGATCAAATAAATAAATAAATAAAGTTAAATAAAATAATTAAAAAAAAAAACATGACTTTAAAAAAAATAGCTGATCAGTAGAACATACAAGCATACAAGGTAAATAATTGTACCACAGTTAGGTTGATTGAGAACTTACCACATATGATTAAGATACAACACATCTCTTTTCATGTTTCATAATAGATTTATAAATACTACAATTACTAATATGTCCCCATTTTGTAAATAAGGAAATTGAAGTTTAGAAAATCATGCAACTAGTGAGTGGTGGGGTCGGGTGTTCTGATTCCAGTCTACACCCTTAATGGCCATACAGTGGGGAAATACCTTACCCTAAAAGGCCAGCTTCATGCTCACTGTGAATTTGGTCTTTGCTAGGAGTTGAATGGTGATTCTGAGAAGCCTCAAAGCTAAAGTGAGAAATGGGAGTATACTGTGCATGCCTATTGTGAGCTGTGCCTACCTCTCTGCCACTTCCAGTTGAAGAACAGCTAATAAGCCAGGAAGCATAATCAGCCCCAATTACATCCTGTCATCATGGAGTCAAAACTGACCTTCTGTGACCTTTCTCTATTTTACCAATCAGCCCTTAGACTTTACTTTGGATAGAAATATGAGAAGATGAGTAAGAGGAACCTTTGGAGGAAGTAAGATGAGTAAGATGGGCCTTTGGAGGAAGGAATGTGCACATCTGTAAGGAAGGGGGCCCTGTAGGATTTTTAAGGCCCTTAATGCACCTGTGCATCACCATTCTAGGTTACTAATGGATAAGATCAAAATGAAGTATTTTTGGTCCTAATCATCCGATTAGAAAGAGTGATCTAAGTTCTCCAAAGAGATGCTGTTTCCTGGTTTCTAGGGCAGTGTTTCTCAAAGTTTACTGTGGATGTGAATTTTGGGGACATCTTGTTCAAATGTGGACATTGATTTAATATGTCTAATATGACATTGATTAATATGATTTAATATCGAGACCAGCAATTAGTGTAATGGCTATGTCGCTGGACTCCCACGTAGTCGACCGTGGTTCGCGTCCCAGACCCGGTGGCTTAAAACTCACGCTGGGCGCGTGTGCATGTGTGCCCAAGATCCCGAGAAGAGAACAGAGGAGAAGGGATTGCGGCGTGGCCATTCCCCCTGGGGGGTGATTTCTTGCTTTCTATCTCTCTGTCTCTGTCTGTCTGGCAAGTGCACGCGCCCTATAGCAAAAACCTCTCCCCCCCCCCAAAAAAAGATTTAATATGAAGGCCTGGAAATTTGCAAATCTAACAAGCTCCTAGTTGATGCTGATGCAGCTGGTCTGCAGATCCTCCTGTGAATAGCAAGGGTCTTCAATCTATTGTGACTGGTTTTGACCATCTAAATTCCTAGTTACAGTTCTGTATGTATGTGTGAGAAAGACGGTATGTTTGTGTGCACATAAGTGTACATATATAGGCTTATGTATGATGTGTATGTTTACATAAGGAGGGATCTTCAAAAGTTCATGGAAAATACATATTATAAAAAACTATGTGTGTATTTTTGTGCATTGACATAAATTCATACTTAAATTCCATTTTACTTCAAACTTTTTTTAGAGAGAGAGATTTTTGCTATAGGGTGTGTAGTCGCCCATGGTTTGAATCCTGGACCCAGTAGCTTAAAACTCACGATGGGTGCATGTGCGCACATGCCCAAAATCCTGAGAGGAAGATGGAGGAGAGGGGGTTGTGGCATGGTCATCCCCCTCAGGTGGTGATTTCTTTCTTTTGTTTCTCTGTCTCTCCAGCAAGTGCATGTGCCCTATGGCAAAAATATCTTTCTAAAAAAAATAAATGTGGGGACCAGTAGATGGTATAATGGTTACATTGCTGGACTATTATGTACTTGACCGCGGTTCGAGTCTCAGACTTGGCGGCTTAAAACTCATGCTGGGCGTGTGTGCATGAGTGCCCAAAAGCTCGAGAGAAGAATAGAAAAGAAGAGACTGTGGTGTGGTGGTTTCAGGCTTTCTGTCTGTCTCTCTGGTGAGTGCATACGCCCTATAGCAAATATCTCTCTCTAAAAAAAAAGTGACTTAGAAATATGCACAATTAGCAAGACTGAAGTACACAACTAAGATACTCTATTTGGTCATCTTTGGGAAATCTGTGTTTCTAAAGTAACCCCTGAAGAACAATAAGAATGGACATGAACAGGTGCATTTGTAAAGAAGATTCTACTCTGCTCTATCCCTTTTTTCTATCCTAATAACTCAGAGTTGAATGGTGAACTTTCTTTTTGTCTCATTCTCCTAGAGAGATAGTAATGGGTTCAGAATATGTGACATGGAGGAGAAATTTCTCAACTCAAATGAAAAGAAGACATTTTCTGAAAATAGTTTACGGTATGAAGAACCTATCCTGTGGACCAAGGGTGAGATCCTTGGGAAAGGAGCCTATGGCACCGTAAGTTAAACTGGAGACTTGATAAAACCTGAATCCTTCATCCCTCCTTGCTCCACCTTCTTGAACCCCATAACCCCTCCTGCTCATACTCCCCTAAAAACTGTTTTAGGGACCAGCAGTTAGCTTAATGGCTATGTCGCTGGACTCCCATGTAGCTGACTGTGGTTAGAGTGCCAGACCTGGTGGCTTAAAGTCACGCTGGGCACGTGTGCATGCGTGCCCAAGATCCCAAGAGGAGAATGGATTATGGCATGGCCATCCCCCTGGGGGGGGATTCTTCGCTTTCTGTCTCTGTCTGTCTCTCTCTGTCTTTCTGGAGAGTACATGAGCCTTATAGCAAAAACCTCCCTCCCCCCCCAAAATAAAACAAAACTGTTTTAGTTGGAAGTAACAGAAAACCCAACCCACAATGGCTTGAGGGAAAGAATGTGTATTACTTTAGGCAACTGAAAGATCTGGAACAGGTCTGGCTCAGGGCACAGGTGTCTCAGGGGTCAAATAATAGCGTCAGGTCTGGTCTCTCTCTCCCTCTGGGTCTCATTCTCAGGGTTTATGTGGTGCTAAAATGGACTTTACATTTCTAACCTCTCATTCTCCCAGTTCAAGTTCAAAGGGAAGGAAATCTCTTCAACAGCTCAGTTTGTTACTGGAAGTTGGGAGAATTATTGCTGGGTAGCAAAAACACAAGAGGTTCCTTACATTTTGTGAATTGCATAAAAGACTGCCTAAGGTCCTAGCATAGTAGAAATTTACATAGATGTAAAATGACTGACTCTTAGGTGAGACCTGTGCCATCTCTAGTTTGGGAAGTTTCAGAAACTAGTGAGAAGGTGGGACTACTGAGATCACATCACAAAGGTGACGTTCTTCTCTTTCTCAAATGATTTAATGCTGAACTAGCCCTAATTCATTTATTTGGTGTGGAGCTTTCCCTAATCATTCTCGCATAGTCATAGAAATCTGCGAGGCAATGGGCCAGCCCGGTCGTGCAGCGATTTAAGCCCTGTGCAGGAAAGGCTGGTTCTACGAGGCTGACCAGTTTGCAATCTGGCCCCAGCAGCTTGAAAACCATACTGGGCACATGTGTATACATGCCAGAAATCCTGATGGGATGGAGAAGTGGAGGACAAAGGATTGTGGCATAATCATGTCCCATTGTGGGGTTGCTTCCCTTTCTCTTGTTCCCTCTCTCTATCCAGCAAGCAGACATAACCTCTGGCAATTAAAAAAAAAAAAAAATCTGTGAGGCAAGTATTGTTACTTTAGTTTTACAAATGATTTTAAAGTGAAGTAAAAAAATTATGTAACTTACCCAAAATGATACAGCTGGAAAGTGGTGTTGCTCAGATGCTTTAAAAAAAATTATTTATTTTAATTTGCTATAGAGCTCATGCACTCATTAGAGAGGGGAGGGGGAGGGCGGGAGGGAAAGCGAGAGAGAGAGAGAGAGAGAGAGAGAGAAAGAGAGAGAAAGTTGAGAAAGCACGTTTGGTAGAAGTGGTAGGGTGGGGTTGTGGTGGCCATGCCACAATCCTTTCTTATCCATTCTCCTGTCAGGATTTTGGTCATGCACACAAAAATGCCTGGTGTGTTTCTCAAGCCACTGTGTTTGGGATTCAAACCATGCATTCAGCCATGTGGGATCCAGCTGCCTTAACCACTATGCCACCAGCTGGCCCATTTATTATTTATGTATTTGTTATTACGGGTCTTTTTTTTTATTATTAAGTTCATTTACTATTTCTTTTGAGAGAGAGACAGAACACCCCCAATAGAATCTTGATCCTGTGATCATCCCCTAGTTTTAGGCTACTACGGGTCACAAGTGCATGTGTACCCAGTGTAATCAGGAAGATCTTCTGAATTTGAACTGGTTACCCTCCTATGTGGGATTGCCTTGCAGAGTGACACATTTTACCTCTACACCACCATCTGAATCCTGGAGCCAGGAGTCTAAATAATCCAAGCACTTGGCTCCAAGCCAATATGGTAACCTTTCCACAGGCTGTATCTTATCCCCATCTTGGATTCACTTAGGGCAAGTACTTGCTTAAGTACTTTGCATTTAGGTGATGATGCATCGACATAGAGAAAGACAAGAATTTGGGAGAAGAAAAGGGCAAATGTCATGAGGCATTTTGTGAACATGTTATGTCATTTATATTTAATAAGGTATTGGTTTGCTTCTAGGTTTATTGTGGTCTCACTAGCCAAGGGCAGCTAATAGCTGTAAAACAGGTGACTTTGGATACCTCTGATAAATTAGCTACAGAGAAAGAATACCGGAAATTGCAGGAGGAAGTAGATTTGCTCAAAGCACTGAAACATGTCAACATTGTGGCCTATTTGGGGACATGCTTGGAAGAGAATACTGTAAGCATTTTCATGGAGTTTGTTCCTGGTGGCTCAATCTCTAGTATTATAAACCGTTTTGGGCCATTGCCTGAGATGGTGTTCTGTAAATATACAGAACAAATTCTTCAAGGTGTTGCTTATCTCCATGAGAACTGTGTGGTGCATCGAGATATCAAAGGAAACAATGTTATGCTCATGCCAACTGGAATAATAAAGCTAATTGACTTTGGTTGTGCCAAGCGTTTGGCTTGGGCTGGCTTAAATGGCACCCACAGTGACATGCTTAAGTCCATGCATGGGACTCCATATTGGATGGCCCCCGAAGTCATCAATGAGTCTGGCTATGGAAGGAAATCAGATATCTGGAGTATTGGCTGCACTGTGTTTGAGATGGCCACAGGAAAGCCTCCACTGGCTTCCATGGACAGAATGGCAGCCATGTTTTACATCGGAGCCCACCGAGGGCTGATGCCTCCTTTACCAGACCACTTCTCAGAAAATGCGGCAGATTTCGTGCGTGTGTGCCTAACCAGGTAAGAAACTGAAAACATGAAGAGGAAGCTCAAGGGTCAGAGATTCTAAGAGGCTGATGTTTCCCCTACTAAGAGCTCTGTTTTGGTTATGAAATTAAGTAGGAAGCAATGTGCTGCAAATAATCATGGTTAGTCATTTGACTATTGTGCTTATTGCTGTATCAGGGTATAGAACTAATGCTTCAAGGAGGAATGCCACAGTTCAATGTCTCATCGGTGCCTGCCCATACTTCCCCAATCAATAGGTTGCAAAATTTGCCGAAGATCTATTTATTTACCAATAGGACATTTTCCTAGAGACTGGCTATAACGAAATGACATGACTTTGTATTTAAAGTGAGTGGAAGGTCAGCAGGTAGCATGGTGATTAAGGTGGTAGATCCCATGGGGCCGACTCAGTGGTTCGAGTCCCAGAATCAGCAGCTCGAAAAGCACATTAGGGCACCAGCATGTGGTGTGGTGGTTAGGGTGCTGGACACTTCCAGATAGCTGACCATGGTTTGAGTCCTGGACTTGGTGGCTTGCTTTCTGAGTTTCTCTCTCTGTGTCTGTGTTTTTCTCTGGTCAAATTAAAATAAATAAATAAAATGAATGATTCTAAAAAAAAAGAAAGAAAAAAGAAAAACACATCAGGTTGGGTCCAGCAGGTGGCGCAGTAGTTAAGGTAGGATTTCCCACATTGCCAACTGTGGTTTGAGTCCCGTGATTTTCAAGCCACCAGGCATGTGTGTGTGCATGCCTGAAGCCCCAGGAGGAGAATAGAGAAGGGATTGTGGTGGGTTTGACCATCCCCCCTGGGGAGTGATTTCTCGCCCTCTCACTGTCTCTCTCTTCAGGGAGAGCATGTGCCCTATGGCAAAAACCTTAAAAAAAGAAAAAAAGAAACAAAAAGGCATTGGGCGCGCGTGTGTGTGTGTGTGTGTGTGTGTGTGTGTGTGTGATCTCAAAATTCCAGGAGGAGACTGGAGAAGGGATTGCGGTGTGGCCATCCCCCATGGGGACTGACCTCTCACTTTCTCTGTCTCTCTGCTGTGAGTATACTTGTCCTATGGCAAAATAAATAAATAAATAAATAAATAAATAAATAAATAAATAAATAAAATAAAAT